AGGAGGAGGAAGTACATTTTTATCTTAAGTATTTTTTTTTCCAGTGGCTTGAGAAAGTATGTCTGAATTTTTCTTTCTTTTTTATTTTTATTTTTTTTCATGGACTAGAGAATTTAAAACAAAGTCAAATTATGGCCTTTTTATCTCTGGGAAGGAGTTGTCTGACTAGGATTTTAACAAGCTCTCTTTAAATGTCGTGCTAAATTTCACTGAAACCAGCCCATGTTGTCTTCCAGGTGACACACTGAATGCAATGTAAATATCTTTTGCAGAAGTCCTGTTCTTGTGCCCTATGGGGAGTGATCAGAATAAAGATATCCAGCAGATATTTCACCTTATCTCATCTTTATCTTGCCATATCATATAATAAAATTGTGATTAAATAGCCAGAATGAAAATGGAAAAACAAGAATTTTGCATTTTAAGGGAAGATGCAATTGGTTAACTGTAGAACTGGTTATCTTGCCAGATGCTCATCTTCAAAACATCAGTTAACTTGTAATTTGCATGTACAGTTTTCAGAGTAATTTTATTAGCAGCTGATGAAGCTGGTTCAGATTCTTGATTTAGATAATAAAATTACTGGGCACTTCTGTGATGTTACAATAACTGTTGAGGAAGGATACTATACTCATACTCCTAACTTTACTATTGCATGCAAATTTGAATTGTATTACTGTGAGGAAAATAATTAGGTCATTAGATTTGCTGCTTGTTTACAAGCTTGGTATAGTCTAAAAGCTAGAAAATTTATATCATGCTAGTATTTTGAGAGTATAAAACATACTTCAACATGTCAAATTCCTTATAGATAGTTCTGTCTTTACTCTGAAGTGCAGAAAAGAAAGCATTTCTCTTGCTAATCAGTCCCATCTTCCTCCTTGTATATATCAAAACCTTCCTGTGTTTCTTAGCAAGTGTATAAGGTCATCAGTGTGTCCTTCAGTGTTACTGTTCTTAGGAAGAACTGCTTTCCTCATGGAAAGAACTGAAAGGAACTATTTAGCAAAGCTTTATTTTAGAAAAAGAACATTGGGATGCCACATTCTTGTACTGATGTGAAAGACATCTCATTGGCACAGATTAAAAAAATGCATGAAATGGGAAAATAAGAAATTCATCATGGAAAGAAAAAACTACAATGTAACTACTTATTTTTTTGCACCTATAATGTAGATACTTGATGAAATGTTGTTTTTCTGTGTACAGATCCTCTGCAGACAAAGAAAGTAAGAAAGGTGCCCCCTGGTTTGCCTTCTTCTGTAAGTACTCTGTTTTTTACTCATAGTAAACAAATTGAGCTCAAATTGTGCTCCCTTTACCTGCCATACATACAAATTACTTAACTTCAGCGCTGGGAAGGCTGTCTGCTGGACGGGAACAGCTAGGCTAGGTAATTGGGAGTGGTTCTGCAGGACTAAATACACATTTGATGTGGAATTTTTAGATTTCATAGCAGTGATTTGTAGCTCGCTCATATGCTCCTACCCACTTGTCCCTGTCATTTGAATTCCTCTCTTGGGAAGAGAGCTGGGCCAGGAGCTGTCAAAGAAGATCTCCTGTACAGGTCTTTTGATGTTTAATTAGTCATTATGTTGCTGAACAGGAGGACAGACAGAGATTAATAGCTGAGAATCTTAGAAATTTACATTTGTAATAATCCCAGTGGAGCTGAAGACATTAAGATTCGGAGGACATGTACAGCTCAGCTTGCCTCAGTAGGACTGAGGTTATTAATATGCATAAATCACCGAGTCAGATGTTCATTGTGAAGCCCTGGTGGATTTTAAAGCCTTCATTAAGCCTTTCCTAACTTCAGCCTAGCATCAGGAAAGCTTTCAAGCAACTAGTTTGTTGATCCCTCTTTGCTTGAAAATTTATCCTTCGAGAATAAAGGGCTTTGATAAAAAAGGTTGGAAGGGTTTTGGTGGAAAAATCATTAATGGCTGTGATAATCTAATGCTATAGGGGTGTTTTGTGGTATTAAATATGCTTTATTCTTAAAAGGAAGAAAATTGTTTATAAATGAATCTGCATTTAAAAATCCACGTGAAGTGAAAAATCCCCAGTGAAGTGAAGGACAGAATGATTTTTTCCCCTGCTCAGAACAAACAGGAGGGGAGGGGGAAGCTCCGCTGCCTTGCGGGATACATCTCTTTGTTGTGTAAATGGATGTTGGGCTTTTATTTGGCAGTACTTAACACATGGGCGCAGGTGCACTTGGATGAGTCATAACTCAAAGCCGGATAGGCTGAATAGAACATACTGCACAGGCAACAGTAATATAGTGGGAGCAAAATGGGTCTGATCTTTTTATTTTGTATTGAATCTGAAGTACGGGTGGTGTCTTCTAGTCCTTGCATGTCCCCTGTTCTCTCTCTCTCTCTCTCAAGGTTAGTTTCACAC